TGTTCCAGAGCAGTTTGAGGTATATGAACGAAATGGGGTTATACGAGCATGTTTCGGGGATACAGTCCACATCGAGTGGAAGACAGAACAATGTCCGAGCAAGATATGTCCCTTGCCCACCTGGATACGGAATACGGACCTTGAAAGTAGAGTAGTTCCTGTGCTGAATAACGGATAATCTTGATGTATTTTACCGGGCAGAGATCTAGATACGGAGCGACTGATAGCTAAATAAGCCAGAATGACTTGATTCCTAGGTGTGTGAGGAAGTCACCTAACGAAAAGGTGTAAAGACGAATGATAAGCTCTAATAGTTCAGGCAGACGAAGGTTTGGTTGAGGAACTTCACCTTGAGCCATTGACCCGAACGTCTGCTATAGTGTACTGCTTAGAGACCGTTTCCCTAGTCTATGACTCAAAATTCCAAACCCTATTAAGGGAACCATCGCAGAAACCGCACGATCAGTGACCAAGAAGGGATAACGTTATGGCATCCTCAATCACATCTTCGTTAGAGAAAATGTAATCCAAGGTGGAAAACATGTTGGATGGAAGGAATTTCACAGGGTAATTGAACGGTTGAAACTGGATAAGCATGGACAATCGATGGCGATCGCCCATGAAATGGAGTCCGTCACGAAGAGACTGGACCTTACCGTGGTGTGACGGTTTGTGCACCTCAGCGATCCATTGAGCTATACCGGAGAGTGTCCCGCGACATTCACAGAGTCTCTCACACCAGGTTGGTCAATGGTTAGAGGTCTGACGAACACAGTCTCCTGGCCCTCCAGGTTGGGGGTTGGAACATGTGGCGACTTGTTCCGTAGAAATGGTAATGCATTTGCATTTCCCGCCAAACACCGCTGCCTTGCGGTTAGGCTTTTGAGCCAAAGGCTTTGGTTGAGGACCCTAATCGTCCTCCTCCTCCTGTCTAGGTGTGGGCGCCCTGGCAGTATCCCAGCCCACGTACAACCATGAATTGCTACGGCAGTGAAGCATTGGTGTTGAACACTGATGTCATGCTGTCGATGATGATGATGATGACTTCCACGAGTACATCAGAGAAGGTTTCAGCGTGGATACTGGGTGGATCAGGGTAAGAGCTCACTCCGGTGGTGACTGATGGATGAAGGTAGAAGAGATTGAGCTCAGGGGTCACGTGGACACTGACAAATCAGAACACCACATGACGGACCCACCAGTAGAACCGCCCTGTTGGTCGGTGTCGCTGCCAGCAAGCATATGACCACACGCACATCACCACTCTGCGCACAACTACTAACGGACTTATACGCCTCGCTCCGTTTTCCAAAGACGTGCTGTTGATGTCACCTCGATTGGCAATGAGACGTTTGCAACCAAGTTGAATAGCCCAGCGAACGAAGCAACGACCAAAGTAGACTAGTACCAAATGACCTGAAGTTAACCACTTGGAGATTCCGTAAAAATTCCCTTTAGGATAGCTTACTTGCATGGACAGACAGAAGGAGGATTTTCACAAGACGGACGACATAATGTGCGATCCAGTGAATAATGACAACAAACACACATTGATACTTAGGTTAAGTAAGTCAAGAAGAATTTCGTGACCTCTGTTGAACTCCATTTGACTCTATTCACCTCGTTTTTCGGTGGTCCAGATTAGTGTAAGCAGACCTGAACTGTACACAGTACATGTCCTGAACAAACTTGCTAGTTTGCTTCTGCGACAGAACCCTTTGTGAATCGAACCATCAGATTTCTACAGAGTTCACACTAATTCAAATTTCTGAAATATATTGTGAAATGCCAAAGTCCTTCAAATAGCAGCTGCGTCGGGAGAGTGCACTCGGCGGGCTAACTTTACGCGGCACTCACTAGTTCATTTGCCCCCATAAAATCAACAGATAGGGTCAAAATGGAATTGTGTGAAAACTTCGCTATGACGTCATTTTTCGAAGAAAGGGAGGGTGAAGATACAAGAGAGAAATGTGTTCGTTCCATTGGCCTATTTTCGGAGATCTGATCTAATAAAGAAAACAAGTAGTCTGAAGGATCTGGTATTTATCTGACGGCCCATAAAACGAGTGTGTTATTCTTCCATAAGTGCAAAAGACCAAGAAAGTGTTTCTGTCTGGGTCACTCTTTGTAGATACGATTCTCACTGTATAAACATCTAATAAAACCAAAACGGCTTCATTTTAGGAGGTAATTTCTGCTTGAAAATTTCTCCAGATTGCCTGAGTGAATGTCTGGAGGTGTAGGCACCTCGGGATGATTGTGGCAAGCTAGCACTAAGTCCCTTCCCCGTCCACCTTTACTCTTTTCTTTACAATAAGGCTTTCAAATAAATCATGGCTGTACGGCAGTGAAGCATCAGTGTCGAACACTGATGTCATGCTGTCGATGATGATGATGAAATGGAGTGGGTGTTCTTTACAGACATCTTGAAACAGGAGTGCTGGAATCTCTGAATAGTCAGACTGATGCGGTGCATATGCGTGTATTATCCGCATTCACGCAAAAACTTGGGGTGGAGGGCAAGCATACGACTGGTAGCTAAGGGACAGCTCTAAATTTCGAAATATGGAACGTCACGATGGAACGGGATCAATCTGTGAGGGTCATAGCGATTGAGTTATTTGAGAAAGGTCAGCCCTGAACTGGACACTGGATAACCATGATCCAGTATTACACATAATAACCCGATTGTTGTCTAGATTTAATTGTGCCAGCTGGCCGCAAAGCTTTTGAGCACTTGTGTAGCTACATGACAAAAGTTTTGTTTGGATGCTGCGTAGTTGATACTGATCCACTGACTTAGCGAGTCGGCAGTTTACCGTCTTGTGAAGTGGAACAGAAAGCAAGGTGCGACGGGGTCCAGCAATGTTCATTTGCTATGCAGGAAACGGATGAAGTTACGGAGGCCGCTGCTATCAGCCAGACTGAGCGCATCGCTGTGCGGGTCCCTGGATGGGGACCCCGGGAATCAACTCACAAATGGTCAATGACACTAGCAGAAACGGCTCAATCGCGCAGCCAATGGCGCTCATGCATCAAAACTATCGCCTTCGATGCGTAGCTACCCAGTTACTGAACTAACCAAACATGCCATCACCACCAAGGATTGGCTGTACGTCCCAAACTCTCATTTTCCTGTCACCGAAACTTTAGCAGCTTGAACCACTATCCCTCTGCCTCTCGACTTTCCCTGTCTAGACTTGGGTAACCTGGTTGTATGCCAGCCCTCTGCTCCTTTCTGCTGGCATGGCAGTTAGGCACCGAGGGAGTGCTACATCTGAACGGAACCACTGTACCTATGGCACAGGATTTATGACTAATAAATCGATTGATTGGTTGGTCTACCATGTTCAGCGGGTACCTGCGATTTCTCCATGGGTCGCTCTGAGTTCCACTTTGTGTGCCACAAAGAACGCCACAAGAACCGAAACTACGTGTTTGCTGAGCAGAGTAACCTTAACGGTAATAGTACTTTACGAGAACCCGAAACCCTGGGATTTTGAGACAACTGGACCCAGGATATACTGGTTATTGCAAGCCCCTTAAATGAATTATCAGTCATTTTGGTCATGCTGGTTCCCCTGGTTCGTCGCCCTACGAAAGCTTCAGCACTCCGTGGATGAGGACAGGGTTTAAACTGGTACATTTTTGATTAGTCCATGGATGTACAACCTCGGTGTCCAGGCCGTAGAACACCTGGAAAAGCGCCAACGGGTGAAGGCTGTCGTATATTACAAGAGGAGTGCAACCGAGTTCATAATTAGACTTCACCACCACCGTGTTTTAGTGCTCCAATGTCTAATGAGCAAAAGGAGGGGTTCTACAGTGTACGACGATACTGGATGACTGGACAATCACTTCAACGATCTGAGAAGGAATGTATCCACGGTTTCTTTGGCACTGTTTCCACTGAGGTACTTTGGGTTCGTGGCGACCCCAGAGCGGATGCGATTGTGGTTCTGAGGAATTTGCACACGCTATGGACAAATCACCGCACCCTGTTTGCATTACCTAACAGCATCGTCGCGAGTGTTGCGCGTCATTAAAAGATCGGAAGGTAGTGAGAAGTTGATTGAGGAGGTTGAGGTTCGTTAAACTGTTGGCTTTAGATGGAACGAACACGTCGGGAACTACCTTCACTGTAGTGGAGCTCTACATAACTCGGCGGTTGATGTATTACATAGCGATATCCGCCATTGCCGAAAGGATACAGAGAACGAAATACACACATCTTTCACAAAATGTACGAGTCGTTGGCAACTTTCTGGCATCCTCGACCTTCCTATTAGTTGACAATGCGTACTGCCGCTCACAGTTCCGGATTAGATTCTTGTCTTTTACAGAACAAAAACAAGTTCTATGTTGTTGGTGTCTCTGAACGTTACCACGAGTCTCTGAACAGGATAACTGTATCTTCCCGTGCAAGCACTGATCTCGGCGGTCGTTATATGTGCACAGTAAGTTTACAGAGTGGTGTTTCTATCAGGGAACGCAACAGGACAATGGGTCATCAGTGTGGGATGAACACCTAGTGATGAAGACATGGAATGTATACGGTATTTTTTAACTTTTTACGAATATACGGGTACCAAGCCGTGTGCGAGTTTGAGGTAGTTCAGCAGTGAATACGCGCGACTACTGACCGGGAGGCAAGTAGTTCGAACCTAACCCAGGCTTTTCTGTTGCTTCCGTCCATGTCTAGGCAACCTGGCGGCATTTCAACCGTTGTTATTCCTGCGAATGGCGCGTCAAGTGCGCACCAAAAAAGTGCCGCAGTCAAATGATTAATTGAAAAATAAGACGTGTGCATTTGTTTAACGTGCTTCCCAGATTCAATGGATATTACAAAACTAATTCGAACGGCACAGCATCGACGACCAACATACAACAGTGTTACTGACCTAGATTTCGAAAGCCAAGTAGTCAGGAAGCACGCGAAAAAACTAGTTTGGCAATGCATAAAAGCAACGTGGATGGTTGGGTTCCAAACAACAACTCACAGTGTTGGGGTCCGCAATTCGGACACTGAGAGGTCGACCACAAAGAGGGGCGTCGTTCCGTTCAAGTGCCTTCGCCAAATCATCTCGTGTGGCAAAGTCCACGAAACAGAAACCACGAGATCCAGTTTCCCCACCAACCAAGTTTATGCTGATAATTTCTAACGGGGCAAAAAACCAGTAAGGAAATAAAAATAATAGACACGAAACTCACTTCGCGACATCACTCTCTGTGGCTGAGAAAACCATGTTGTGAACAAATGCCCGGAACGGCTTCTCTGTTGGAAGTTTCGCCAGTTCTTTTTCTAAAGAATTCGGCTGTGAAAATGAGGGGAGTGTTGCCCTAATTTTCTGAAGTTCTTCGGCTCTTTCCTTCGATAGGTTCAACTCTGCCATAGCATCAGTGGGGTCCACCTCGCCAATCTAAGTGCACAATCACTATGTTTAATGCAACCCACTGTGTTGCTAGAATAAACCACATCGACATCAACGCTCTTGTTAAATCTGTTCTTCTTGGTTTTCTTCCCCATGACGGTGCGCAAAGTAATCGGCAACGGACGAAAGCACAATGGTCGTGCAGGGAAACTCTGCACTCTGATTGGTTGTTCGATCAATCGGGGAGGTAGGTCGGATTGTTTGAGCGAACAGTGAGCATGGCGGGAGCTGAAGGGTTCATAGAATCGGGTCGACAAAATGCAGTTTCTAACCTCTGATTCCATTCGCGCGGTACGTTCGAAATCGGTTTCGTTTTTCCCTCGTGCAAATTCGTGAAAAATTTTTTCGTTGTTCAATCTATTCACAAAGTACACACGAGTAATTGTTGAATTTTGTTACTCTAACAAAACATTTGAGTGATAACCCTTTATATTTTGCGCACACCTATTTTACATCTAGTCCGAAACATGACGTCAATTCATACCGATCGCCCTAAGCAGCCATTGGTAGACCACAATAGATGTGGGCGGAATGGCTGCCCGTCGAACGTCAAACGGGGTATGCAATGCCACGCCTGCAAGGCCTGGTGGCATTTCAAATGCACGGGTTTACAGGACGACCAAATAAGCCGACTAGCCAACTCTCCTGACCCGTTTGTCTGTGCCAGCTGCCTCTATGTCAAGGGTGCAATGCATACCGCAGCGAAGAGAAGAGTCCCCCGAAACGGTACCCAACCCCCAGTGCAGATCCCGAAAGACCACTGCCAGTGTTCCGCTTTAATCGGGACACTCGACGCGAAATTAGAGCGTCTTTCGAAGGCATTGGAGGACTCAGGCGCTAAGAATGCAGCGACCTGGGCGAAAGTCGACAAGGAACTTTCCTCGCTGAACCAATACCTCGCGATGTCCATACCGGGTCCCATGGCTGCGAAGAAAGTCATACAACTTTCTGACGCGGCTATAAAAACCGCCACAGCGTCGCTAGTGGACAGACGCCTAAGGGAAAACAGGCTGATAATCTGGGGGTCGTTCTCCGGAAAAATCACGCCAGCGAAGCTGGCACAGTCGATCCTCAGCAAGCCTGATCAATCGCTCCACGCAGAATGGCTACGCCAAAAGGGAAGTAAGCGAACCCTTGGACTTCTAGTTACTCTTTCTTCCCCGTCCGACGTACAGGCAATCTTGGAGCGGGCTGGCAGCATTCAACAGGCCAACCCAATGATCAGGCGCCTATCTGAGGATCGTCCTCTAGACGCGCGCAAGCTTGGTCACAACAGGTCAGGAGTGGAACCACGAAACAGGCTTCCACCGGGCACTGAACCAGACGACCCCAAACTCATGACCAAGCCGATTGTGGTCATATCCCCCTGTGCTCCCGAAAGCAGGCCGACGGAACCAGCTGGGTCTCCGGACAGCAGTTTTTATTCGACCACCACAGGCCTCTCGCCCACCAAAGTCAGGGACGCCCTGGAGGAGACAAATCACACATGCAAGCAGCGCCCAAACTACGTGGGGCTATCAACGCTTATCTCCGTATAAGAGGGCACAGCTGCAGCCGCGCACTCGTCAACAAAGTAACAGCCTCTGAACTGGACTGAGGCAGATGTGCGGGGACAACAAGCGAAGCCAATCTCCAGCTCCACTCCGTCAAAAGCTGTCTCTCTGCTTGTGGACACAACCGCCGCCCAGTACCCCGGCACCCAAAACCATAAACATGACTACAGCACTCCGGAAAATCCCTCGTACATCCAGTTGTCCACGCTGATCGCTGGCGGATCGGGTGTGCACACAAACGCGAAAGAAGAGCGACTGCAGCCAAAAAAGCCATATAAAACTCGCCATATTAGAAAACTGCTGGCTGGCTTCAAGGTGCAGTCCTCCGGGAAAACGAGACTCAAGGGAGCGCCACCAAAATCATTACTTCTTGGTGCCACCACCCAGCGCTCAGGGCCTCACTGAGACACTTTACCGGTTAAACCGCGCCAAAACGCCCAAGGATCCAGAAAGGCGTAAGCTTGCAGCAAACCCTTGATCAACAGCAAATCTGGTCGACGAAAAAGGGATGTTGAAAGAGCTACAAAAAGCATCGGCCGATATTTTCGCCCATGGGGAAAAAATTCCGCTCCTCAAAACAAAAAGACCCAAGCAAACCGAGCTCTGACGGAACGATAAAAACCCAGCAGGTGAAAAGCACCCCCAGAATCCACAAAGGCCGGAAGAAGACAACATCGCCTCAGAGGCCCTCTTGGAGCCTTGGACACAGATCCAAAACTGGTGCACAAATATTAAGTCTGCTAACCACCCTGGTAGCTCAACTTTCGGCTCCTCACCCTCGGAGGCAGCAGAGGCAGTGTTAAAATGCTTGTACACAAACTGCCTCAGCATTTTCAACAAACTCGGCGATGTTAAACAGTCAGCTTACTTGGAACATCCGTCCATAATCGCACTCAACGAGACCTGGTTCACATCAGATGTCTCTGACGCGGAGATCTCGATAGACGGTTACTCTATTTTTTGAGCTGACTCAAAACGAGGGCGGGCTGGTGGGGTTGTTCCGTAC